TAGCACGACCACCAATGAATGCCGCGAGAGATATAGGTGCTTTAGTGGCATCCCTTTTCTCTACCACGGCTGGTTCGGAATACGAGGTGTTCCCTCTCGTTGGGTCTCCAGAGAGTTTCCTAAATGTATCATCTTGATTTCGAAGTCTGTCGTCTGGTGTTTTCGCCTCAGACACTGCGACATTAGAGTCAATATCTTTGAGAGATGCAGCAATGTCGCTCTTAGCTATCCCTCATTCAGTACACTATACAGAAAGGTAGAGACAAATACATCTTACAGAGATCGAGACTGCTATTCCTACTTGCACCCCCTGCGCTTCGCCTGAGACGGGCAAGCCTCGAGGCAGCGATCTCCTGCTCTAAACGTCGCGTTTCGTCCTCTTCATCCTGATCCACCTGCCGCTGCAAGGCCTTGATCTTGCTAGTCCATTCCGCGAGACCAGTCTCTGGCTTGGGAGTGAGGTCAGCCGTTCGCCTACGGGATGTTCTATCAGTCCCATCCATTGACAGAGTAATATGGTCAGAAAAGAGTTATTCAGCGAACAGTCCTAGAACGGTCCTACACCATTTAAGTCAAGTACTGTGTACTGAGCCTCCGACGCGTTGCTCTATGGCGCTTATTAACTAGGGGTTTCTTTCCTCTTCCATTTATGGAATTAGTAGCGCCAGTCCGGGGTGACTTGGGAACAGGGGGCCATTCTGGTGTTGACGACCAACTCGTGTGCAAAGTAGAGAGCCAACATCTTTCTCTATATTTCTGCCAAAACTCAATGGATAAAAAGGTAAAATAGGTGAATCATTCACACAGATGGTCTGTCGTGGGTGAAGAGAACCTAGTACTATGCAGTGCTAGTGACTTAGTCATTTCGTGGCCGCCGCAGAACTTCACCGTACATCCGAGTCTGATTCGGACAATTCACATGATCCCTAGTGGACGTCCTTAGCTAGAGTGGGGCATATCTTCTCTCTATCTTGACCCATACCTTGTCGACTAACTCCCCTCAGTGTTACTTCCAACTTACGAATCGTCTTCTGAGATGAGTTCTTGGAAAGATCTTATAGCTGACAAAAAACGACGTCAAGCTGAGTCAATTCCGAAGGAATGGCTTATCACCCCTCCTCCATCCTCAACGATCAACGTAATTGACGTACCTGAGGAAGTCGGCTTGTTGACCCCCAAAGAGATCGAAATAACTAACACCATTGACGTATCAATCATCCTTCAGAAGCTAGCTACCGCAGAATGGTCCTCTGTAGAGGTCACCACCGCTTATTATAAACGTGCAATCATCGCTCAACAGCTGGTAAATCCAGATGATAGCCACCGTATTATTATATGACTGACGATCTTGAAATGTATAGGTCAACTGTTTGACTGAGATCTTTGTCGAACGCGCACTCGCCCGTGCCGCTGAAGTAGACGAATATCTCAAAAGGACAGGGAAAGTCATAGGACCATTACACGGTCTACCCATATCCTTGAAAGATCAACATCGTATCAAGGGTTTAGAAACGACCATGGGTAGGAACAATCTTCCTTGATATTGATTGGTGGCGATTAACATGATTCCAGGTTATGCCTCATGGGTCGGCAAGTATGCCGATAAAGATTCTGTATTAGTTGGGATCCTTTACGAATGCGGCGCGGTACCATTCGTACAAACCAACGTACCACAGACATTGATGGCAAGTATATGTATCCGAACCATCTAGACACGACATTTATTCCCTTATCAGTGGCCTGAAACCTATAACCTCGTTTTTGGACGCACATTGAACCCATACAATCGAGCTCTGACTTCTGGTGGCTCATCTGGAGGTGAAGGTGCTCTGGTCGCTTTGAAGGGCAGCCCGCTTGGTGTCGGTTCTGATATCGGAGGGTAAACCCCCTTTTCTTCTTTTCGCCAGACAACAGTTCAAATGTGTTTTGAAGGTCGGTGCGGATTCCTTCAGCATTCAACGGATTATACGGCTTGCGACCTTCCTATGGTCGAATTCCCTACAGTGGAGCCGTGAATTCTATGGAAGGTCAAGATTCTATCCCCTCAGTATTTGGGCCACTGTCGAATGATCTCAGCGGCGTCAAGGTCTTCATGCAGTCGGTTATTTCCACAAAGCCATGGCTGAAGGATCCTCTAGCCGTTCGAAAGAAATGGGACGACGATGCGTATGCACTTGCTGAACACGGGGGTGGGAAGAGTTTGTGCTTTGGGCTCTTGTGGAACAACGGAGAAACTGTACCTCACCCACCTATTATAAGGGCATTGGAAAGTGTTAAATCTGCTCTATTGGCGGCTGGTCACAAAGGTAATGCAAACACTGAATTCATGTGTGACTATACTGACGTAGTCCGTAGTTGTTGACTGGGAGCCTTACAAGCATATCGATTTGTGCAAAACGGTTGTAAGTGATTAGTCTGTCTGGATAACCTAGTTCCTTGTTCAAAGAAAGAACAGTCAGATGTATGGGATGCAGGTGCAAATGAGGATTTCGCAGAAACCACAAGAATCTCTGAGAACCGATCGTCCCCACTATGGCTCCTACCGACGGAGACAATGCCGCTGATACTGGCTTTCGGCCTTCCCGAGAAAAAGTCACCGTCTCTGCGTATCAACTCTGGCAAACCCAGAAACTCAAGACAAAGTTACGTCAAGAATACCTTGCTCGCTGGGAAAATACCACCAGTATCTCAGGAACCGGCAGGCCCGTCGATGCTATTATTTCCCCCTGTGCTCCTTTCGCTGCGCCTCCACACGGAAAGAACAGGTACGAACGACGAAGAAGCCTGTCAAACATACTTATTCTTGTGTATCTTTTATCCAGGGATGCTACTTATACAACTATCTGGAATGCTCTCGACTACGCTACCTGTGCTTTCCCTGTGACGAAGATAGACCCGTCCGTGGATGCCAAGAAACCGCCCCACACATTTTTGTCTAAGAAGGACCAGAAAAACTATGATTTGTGTACGCCAACCCGATACGTTATTGTTTCCATTGATTTGACCTTTCTTTCCATAGATGATCCACAAGTGTTCGCAAATGCGCCCGTTGGCTTGCAGCTTGTTGGGAGAACTCAAGAAGAGGAGGCTGTTATCGCAATGACCGAAATTGTGGATACGGCTTTGAAAAGTCTCAAACTATCCTCAAAACTCTGAAGGTTATCTAGTAAAGTGATGAACGTCTGTCAAGATGCTGTACAATAGGTTCAATCACAGATTCAATCAATGTATTTTAGTACACACCAGGTCAGCTGTATACTCTCTGGCTATCTTGGGTCACTGATCAATATGGAGAATTTGACATCAATCGAGAATTGCTTGAAAGTCGACTCGCCTCTAATCCCCATTCCATATCCACAGCACTAAAGGTAACTTACTCACAACCATAAATGCTCCTGCGAACATCCTCGAACGTGGTCACCGAACGATGACCGAGTGAAAACAAAAATTTCTCACTCACGGTCAGACGTGGATAAAACCGTGCCGCAGATGCATGACCTCTCAGGAGCGTGATTTGTTTTGATGCTAACGGCTGGAACAGCCCAAGAAACTTCACGTTATATATTATCTTTGACAGATGCCTGCAGCCTTAGGAAACTTCTCGACATCGGTTGAGTTCTTCATATAGGTTCCTGCATTAACTGAGTACCTGTCAGGTACCCGTTTGACAGGTTCTCCGACGAGCCTATTATAAAAACAGCACTGATTGCTAATTACGTTCAAGCTTACTTCTTGAAGCCCAAGCCCCAGCAGACTCGATATAGCTCTATTCCGAATAGGACAATGTTGTCCCTGTTATGCATTTCAGCCCTCCTTCTCATTCAAGGACTATTTTCTGCGGCCACTCCAACACCTCCTCTACCAAAATCCGCAATTGTCAACCTGCGCATCGAGGGCTTGCTGCGTACCATCTTCGAGGGTCCTATTCACACCAGAGGTCATAACGTCACAACCGCTTCCGGCGGTACCCATCACTGCGATGGGACCAATAATAACGAGAGCCCAATCTCGGGTCCAACGTGTACCACTGCACTGGATGATGCTTCTAGGAGGGGAGATTTTACTTGGGATGGGTATGTGTCGTTCTTAGTAGTAAAGATGAGACATTGCTCACAAGTATTCTGATGCATGTAGAACATTCTTCGACGAATTCGATGATTACTTCATCACTCGTATTGCAGAGAATACCGGCGACAGTGATGTTGCTTGGGGTATTCTTCTGGGTTTCCAATTTACCCCAGTTGGCGGATGTCAACAAGAGGTCAAACAGGGAGACGAGGTCCTCTGGGCTTTCGATGCGTTTAACAAGCAATATTTCCTGAAGCTGGATGGCCCAGCTGTAGTGAAAGCGGGCATACCAGCCACTTTTACGGTCATAGATGGTGCAACTGGTGACCCGATTCAAGGAGCAACTGTTGCTGGGAACGGACATTCAGGCGTGACGGATGTTAGTGGGAAGGCTCAATTGGTATTCCAAGCTCGCGGTCCACGATTTCTCAAGGCTGAACGCAGTGATTCAATCCGTTCTAACCGCTTCTCGTTCTTGGTAGTCCCATAGGGTAGTACTAAGAGCGTAAACGAATGTAGTATTGGTACTAAGTAGTAAACTTTGCTGTCGCTTCCCCGCTTGTTTTCTCTCTCTCAGATTTTACCATGTTTCTGTGCACCTTCTAGATTCCTTTTGAAATGTGTGCATTTGAGTGTAGTATACTAGCAATCAAGAGCTTTTTATATACTCAAAACCGTCTTGTTTAACCTCTTCCGAGTCCGCTACTACCTTCGCTTCCCAGTTGATCGCCTTCCTAATTGGGACAGTACTTATCTGTGCCGGATTATGTAATGGGTTTCTTCGAGCTGTAAACAGTGAATAGACTGGGAATTTGCCCTCAACCAGCTTTACTTTATAGCAAGAGTAAGGCAGAAATACTATTACTACTCATTCCTGAGTGATTCAGGTTGGCATCATCTACCGAACTATGCTTAAAAAGGAAACAAAATTATGACCCCAACCCGGATTGAACGGATGACCTTGAGGAGACGATTAGGAGGTTTACTCCGCTGGAATCTCACGCTCTACCACTGAGCTATGGGGTCTTTCTCATCTAAAAACAAAGCACGGCCACTATAGGATGGACAAAGATTATCGTTGAGACGACAACAACAAGCTAGTAGTACTGTTACTACTGTAATGTGGACTGTGACTGTCGGTACCAGTAGAAGAATCATCGTTCTCTTGGTCCCAAGTACTCTCGGTACAAAAGAGTATGCTAACACTTCCGACTAGCAATTGACAATGCATACTAAGTACTGCAATGTAAATCTTATAGCAAAACCGAGGAAGGGCCTTGGAAAGGGGGATTCTATTGTTGACCATGCATCCGAGGAATCCGTTCAACAATCCTCCAAATTTCTCCGAGCTATCACAGGCGTACCCTGCTCTCAAGCCCTAGTACGAATGCTTTGCTCAAGAGTGTCATGACATTTACAACTAACCATTACATCGTGACAGTGTAACTCAGTCGTCATCTGGATGGACCATTGACTTCCATAATAGCCATGCTCAGAGGTTTGTAGGGCTAGGAGTAATCGATTTCGCGACTCCAAGTCTTATTTGTGTTCAATGTAGACGACTTACCGAAGCTCTGCTTCACAAATTCTTTGGATTATCCCTATCCACCCCAGAAAATCGACTATGTCCCCCTGTACGATTTAAGCTTTGCCTCTTGAGCTACTAACCATATCAATTTTTCAGGTTCCAAACAGGTTCGTGCAGATATCATTGCCCAGAGGTTTCCAATGATTATCTGACCACCCGTAGAATGAACTATATATTATGGTTGGAAGATATAATACGAGCCACTTACCTGGCTTCAAGACGACCAGAAACCATACGTGGAATCGACATGTTCGTGTCAGTTTCCCTATAAGCATACCAGTCAGCTCATATCTCTGGCATCCCAGAGGAACAGGTGCCTCGGCTATATACCCTCTTCTGGGTTGCCGTACAAATCCTACCTGGACCTTCGTTGGTACCGGTAAGCATAATATGATGTCTGTCTGGGCTTCTACACAAAGTAAATCTTATTGTAGACATTGACGATATCTCGTTGAAGTCTGCTCAGAAGAACATCGAGTCCAATTCTTTGAAGGAAAGGATAGACCTTATCAAATCCGACCCCTCCGGTTCTATTCTCCCAATGACTCTACATGACGACATCATATACGATTTTACTATGTGCAACCCTCCGTTCTACAGCGACAAAGACGAGGTTCGACAATCTGCGGAAGCTAAACAAATTGGTCCTAATGCAGTATGCTCTTGCATTCTTGTTTTAGAGTATATAAAATCTGATCATCGTCTGTCAGGTATGCACGGGGGCAGACGTAGAGATGATTACTCCCGGTGGAGAGTCTGCATTTGTTTGCAAGATGGTCCACGAAAGTATCAACTTTGGTGCAAAGTGCAGGTTAGTCTTACGGAATCTTGATTGTACATGGATAATAGTTTGGTCTCAGATGGTATACGTCAATGTTGGGAAAGATGTCTTCTCTGAATGACGTCGTGAAGATGCTCCGTGAGCACAAGGTAGGTTGACTTTGCTTCACCCTGGGCTAGTGGCTCAGAATAGACATCCAGATCGACAACTACGCCATCACAGAGTTTGTTCAAGGACAGACAAGACGTTGGGCGATTGCGTGGTCTTTTGATGACATACATTTACCCGACGTGAGCTGTAAATCAGCTTAGCAGGGAGGTTTAGTGTGGCTGACAACCCTTTACAGACAATCGCCCGTATGTTCAACACCCACATACAGAATATCATGCCTCCACGCAATAGTCTCCCTTATTCATGTCAGAGGGCTGTATCGCTCGAGACACTCAGGAGCACACTTTTTGATGTGCTAAAAAATATCGAGGGAGTAGCCATTAGTGAGAGGTGTTTGGAAGCTGGATCTGATGGCGTCGGTTGCATTCTTGTTAATGCAACGAGGAATACGTGGTCGAGAGCAGCAAGAAGAAAGAGGCCAGACAAAGTTCCACCGGATACAGTGGGTGAGGGTTGTGGGTCAGTAGAGTTCCAGTTGGTCTGTCGTCTGGAACTTCTAAAGGAGAGTGAACGAGACGAGGGACAGATTCTATTTCATTGGGTCAAGGGTCGAAACCGGCAGTTGTTCGAAACCTTCACAAGCCATGTAGGCCGTAAAATAGACTCTAGCTTAGTGGCGATCGAGAATGAGCCAATGAACATAGGGTAATTACTCTATGACCTGTCCAATCATTGACGAGGTATATCGACAGCTTATCTTTAACAAAGTGTTTCGGGATGAACATATATTGTATTAGTGGTGTGCTGTGTGCGAGCCGTGACCGTGCTCATCATGACCATGTCCTTCCCATGGGTGCTTCAAACCCTGCAAGCGAAATTCAATATCAAGCAATACGAACGAGGACCGAGGAAACACACCAGAAGTTTCATACCGTCCTTACTGCAGTATAAAATGAGCATAACTTGTCAAATCAAGGGCTTGGGAGACATACCGGGCACGGTAGAATATGAAGAACCACATCGTTGCACCCAACGTTGTTGAAAGGAGCTTGTATTTCAGTCCTGGAAGATGAGGGTTGAAGCCCGCGCCATTTCCTGTATACAACGATCAATTTGCATCTCTATTACGCAGCGGACCTATCGTATCTGGAACACTCACCGTGGCCAGCCATGACGAAGGAGGATGAGAAAGGTATTTGTGGTTGTTGTGGTAGTCTGACCATCCACATGCGGAAAGGCAAAATTGGGCGCTTCAATCGTGTCTTGAAATAATTATTTCCACGACCGCACCTCTGCCCTTGCCTCATACACTGGCAGTTAGGCTCGCCTTGCGATTTCTGTCTTAATCTGTGCTTGGACCCACGATGGAGATCAAAAAGCGAAAAAGAGAGGATCAGGAGGATATAGAGACAGTCCTCACATTCCACGCAGCCGGTGGCCGTACGTTTGATCGTCTGTTCAAAGGTGTGTTTATTGTTCAGCGTTCTTCAGTGCGTACCAGTATACTTCAACTTGTACAGACAAGGACCTGCAACATCTGAAGGCTGGACTGAAGAAGAAGCTTCAAGTTCCTGAACAAACTGAGATACGATTGACGCAACTCAGAGATGGACGAAAGGTCGACCTAGATGATGGTATGCCCATTTGCTACAACTATAAGTTATGACCCTATGACCTTCGCAAACAGATGAGGATTTTGATGCGATGCGTGCAAGATCACACTCTACTTCGTCGATTAATATCTTGGTCGCAATCGGAAATAGTGATTTTGGGAGTCCGAATCAAGGCTCCCAACCGGTCTCTTCTGCGGAATCTTTGGTAAATATCTATCTTCTTGGGGCTCGTACGCTGTACATAGTACTAGAACAACTCATCTGCAGCCACCTCCAAAGAAGAAGAAACGCAAGTCGAAAGCTCAACAGTCTACAGAGGACGGACCTAGCACCTGCAAAGAGCTCTGCAGTGAGTCGAGTCGACGCACAACCTACAGGATCGCAGAGCTCCAAGACAAAAAGATCGGCGGAGCACGACAAGGCTGCACAGGAAACAGACAAGACAAAGCGAGTTAGCTTGGTAGAGCCCTCCTCGACGAGTACCCAACTTCCTGTAACCCCAAACAACAAGCCCGCTCAAGCCGTTAAAGCTAAGGCTACACCTTCATCATCTATCCTGAAGGTATCAAAGCCTCCAGCTGGAGTGAATGGTCGTTCACCAGGCACCAGTACCAACACGAAGCAGGTCAATAGTGCTCTGTCCAACGTAACTCAACATGTCACGTTTAGCCCGATTGTTTCCGTTCTAACTGGGGATACTCAGCGTCCTATAGCATCTACTAGCAAGGAAGCTACCTCACAGCCTAAAGCCTCTTCTTCAAAACCTGCCGAGACTCCGACATCGCTCGATGCTGGTAAAACCCCATCGAAACCTGAGAAGAAACGGAAACGCAGCTCCATTGATGCGAGTGGTCCGTCCAAAAAGTCCACACAGCCTGCGGAGACCCGAACGGGTGCACCTCAGCCTCAGGTACTAGTAAACCACGACACCAAGGAGAGGTATGCACTTCTTCCTAGTACATTGTTCACGACTGAAGTTATTAGCTTTCTAGGAACCTGAGCCCTCTTCCAGCACTCAAATCCCCACTCCTAAAGCTGTTTCATCATCTCTCGAGCCATCTTCTGAACCCAAGAAGAAAAAGTCGAAGTCAAAATCTTCTGGTACCGTTGTGGAGCCTCCTCAACCTGTATCCGTACCACTAATTGTGCCCTCAACTTCTACACTCTCGACTTCTACTCCCAATAAGGTTTCTAATCAGCCTGACAAGTCGTTAGACACAAACGAGCCTGGTTCTGGGCGCCGAAACAAAAAGGTTAACAAAGAAAAGGTGAAACAACTGAAAGATCTGTTAAGGGCGGGAGCTCTCTCAAAGGGACGTGTTGCGAGTACCGCCCCCTCTGCCGACGAGAATCCAAAGGGTGAGCCTCATAGCACTTCAAATTCCACATTTCATCTCAATTAGCCCTTTTCTACTCCATGAAAAATGAAGACGGGACCTCGCAACCAAATCCAGCAGAAGGTATGCCACTCAGTCGTTCGATCGATACGCATGAGCCGTGCTTAATAATGTAGGGGAGAAACAACGTGACGAAGCACCTGGTCCTAAGGAAGTACCGCCGATACCTCCTTCAGGTATTATCTCTATATCTAAAAATATGATTTGGTCTCATTATTTTCTCTAGATACGCCTCTAGAAGCTGTTGAGACGCTAAAGCGCGTCACAAAAGCTCAAGAAGATATTGTCAGAAATGCTGTTTACGCTGTTCTGAACAAGCGCTTTCCTGATTGCGTTCTGCCTGCACTGCCCGTCAATGCATCTCGATCTACCATTGGAGCAGAATCTTCAACGTCCACCTCAGTACCTCCATTGACACAATCTTCCCACTTAAAACCCGCTCCCTCTGCTCCAGCTACTATTGATGTTTTTGGATCGTCTGTGACTCCTGCAAAGGTGCCAGCTGCCAAAGGAAGTAAGTCAAGTAATCAGAAACC